CAATTGGTTTTGAGATGGAAGCTCAAGGTGACTTTGACATGGTATCAGAGCCCACGATCTGTGGACCTGTGATAACTATGGACCCGCGTGTGCGGGCTTGAATCCGTGTGCCTTGGACTTGCGTATATTCAGAGTATGTACTCGTGTGTACGGGGTTGTTGACTGACCCAGTAGTATATCTGGTGAATTATGTTGTCTTGTACAACCCCAATGGGCCAAATGCCCTATTAGGCTTGAGGGAGGGTGTTGAGACAAAAGAATCCCACATCGGTATCGTGAAGAATCTGTCACCTGTTTATAAGTGCCAAAAGCCACCTCACTCATTGCCAATTGGTTTTGAGATGGAAACCCAATGTGACTTTGACAATTTTATAAGTATTTGATCCATCGAACTTTTATCCAAAGTTCTTGAAAAAAAAAAATCCTAAATTAATGGAGTTTAGGACGGCCAAAGGACATCGATCACTCGCTTGGCCCATAACTTTAATATTAGTTGTGGAATTAACATATGCAAGCGTGCATTAACAAGAACTAGTCAAGAACTAATCAACTACAAGAGGGGTACGAAAAGACAATTTATTTATTTTTTAATTGTTGAAACATATCCACACTGCGATGGATTTAGATTTATAATTCCAGAAAAGAATCTCAGTTAAGAGAAACGAGACCATTAATAATTGGAAAATTATTAACGTTATAATAAACGTTCGAAATTTATTATCTCAACGGCTACGCCATCGACCAAAGTCTTAGTGCTTCACTTTCCACAAATAGTGGGGTAAGGAAGATGCAGGCATTATTAAATGACTTAATAGTGGCCAACCGGAGAAGAAGAAAATTCAAAACTCCTCTTAAAATTATCTTAAAATTTTATTTTATGAGACTTTAATTACACTATTTTTTTTGGTAAACTGTGAAATTCTATTGCTGCATGAACAAGATATTTACAAAGTATTCTTTACAATTCAGTGTATTCCTATATTCTCTAAGAACCGTATATCATCACCGCTTCTATTTCTAAATTTATACAAAAAGGACCATTTTACCTCAGCTTGCATTTGACCAAATCTGCTCCTTGCATCCTATATTCTGTCTGCAAACTTCCTGGAATTCCTCTCTGTCCATATGTGATGCACTGCTGTATTGATACTTGCCAACAGCACATGTTTTCTCACTGCTTTGTGCTTCCATATTCTTAGCAGTCTTCTGGCATTCAAGCTCACTATAGTATGCTGCAGTTTCAACCAGTCCTGAACCAATTTCATGATCTCAGATGAGTAATCACACTTAAAGAAAAGGCGTTCTGTTGTTTCATCTTCCTGGTGGCAAAGCACACACTGCTGATCTTCAATTTCCACGTTCATGTGTACCAGTCTATCCATAGTCATTAGTCTGTCTTGATAAGCTAACCAACTAAGAAAGCTATGTTTAGGAACAGAAAACTTACTCCACACAATAGGGGCATGCAACATCTTGCTTTTTCTTCCTCTCAACCACTGGTAACCACTCTTTGTATCATATTTCTGTCCTCCATTGCTATTCATCAACTAGACCATCCTTCAGTGTATCTCTAATCTTCATCAGAGTTTTCCAATGCCAACTACAATATGCAAGAATTTGATACTCCCATATGCTTCTGCCTTTAAGATAATAGTTCTACATCTATTGAATTCAAAGGCTTTCTTTGTTCTATGCTAAGTCCCATAATTGTTTACCTAGTAATGCTTTATTCCAGCTTCCAGGTTCTTTGAAGTTTAAGCCACCTTCTATCTTCTTCCTGCATACATTGTCCCATGCCACCAATGCTCTATATCTTCCATTACTTTTTTCTCCCCACAAAAATCTTCTGCAACATGTAGTTATCTGCTGGATGACTGACTGAGGAATGAGGAAAATACTTGACCAATAACGGTGTAAAGTCAGTAACACAGAGTTGATCAAGACTGTTCTGCTTGCATAAGATAGGTATCTTGAATACCAACACTTAAGTCTTGCTATAATCTCTTCTACAAGGCATTGACAATCAGCTTTTGTCCATTTAGTTGGTGCAACTAGTAGTCCCAAGTATTTCATTGGAAAAGCCCCAATCTCAAATTTTATGATACTCTGAATTTGATCCTTAACGTCCTCCACTGGTCCTTCAAAGTAAATATTAGACTTGTTCACATTCACTTTGATTAAAGGTAAAAGAAAATCTCAAATTTCATGATACTTTGAATTTGATCCTTAATTACACTAATTTATTGTTGATTAAAGGTAAAAGAAAATATCACCAAGACTATAATGTCACATTATTGCTAAAGGATACGACTTTGTAGTAACGAAATCAACTCTCAAAAACCTTGTAAAGGATGTTAACCTTCAACTTTCTAGTACATTTTAAACAAAGTTTTGGCTTAAAAAGATATATCCTCCACAAATTTCCGTATACAATGTCTGTCCCGTGGTACAGTATCAGAATTATTGACGAACATTAATTATGGTTAACCATTTCTTTCAAATGAATCAACAATCAAATAAAGTAATTGAAGTGTCAGTTTAGACACGACAGAAACCCGTCAAAAATTAAGCATGCGTATATATACACCTTTCAATCGTAATATTTTAGTCCAGAATAAAGTATTCGGTATTCCTTACGAAGAACTTGCGAGAGTTTGATACTAACTGAGAAAGTAACAAACAGAAAGTTCAACCGTTAGGAACAAAAATCCCTTCTAATTAATCACTTGGTGCCAGTAAAATGTAACTATCATGCTGACTTGAACAAAGATTTTAGAGATCTTAACTAACGCCACATTTGTTAGTATTTCACAACCGAGTTATAAACAATTAATCATACGTTATACAAGACAACAAAATTCAGAATCTTAAGACTAATTTCCTTCAAAATTGTTATGTACAATATATTTATTTCGAAATGGATCTCCGTGTCACAAAATAAAAGTCATATTTGAAACACAGTACCGTACAATTTTACGTTGAAACGGAGGGGATTGTAGTAGCAACTTGCTCGGTAAAGTTTCTCTGAGCTACAGTACATTATTCTGCCTTACTAGCTAAGATAGTAAGCTATGAATGTAATGGCCTAAAGGGCAGAGATATTGTACGTCGTGGTATGGCTTTAAGCCTTTAACGTTTAAAAGATTGCACAAACTGGCAATTGGAAAAGGCGTAGTCATCTTTTTTGAATTGAATCTACTCCAACCAAACAAAAAGTTAGTCGATCATTTTGATTTTTTTGTTCTAACAACCAAGACGTTACCATTAAAATCGTAAAAAGTTACTCTTTTCTAGACATACTTCTAGTTCTAGACATCCATAAGTCTCCACATAATAAAATCAGAAACACTACTATTGTGGACGTTAAATTCACACAACAAATGAGATGAAATAGATACTCCTTCTGTTCCAAAATTATTATCCAGTTTGAGTTTTCACTTTTAGTACAATTTAAACTAGAAATGAAAACCCAAACTGAAAAATAATTATGGGATGGAGGGAGTACTACTTTTCGTTTTTTTTTTTTTTAAAGTGAATATAGACTTGTTGGAAATAGAGTACTTAATTCAGCATGGGTTTTAGCGTATGTTCATTTTCAGTTTCAGGTGTGGAATAGTTTAATATTCATGCTAGTGTCTCCTTTAAACATTATAACTACCGGATGCGAATTAACCTGACCGTGGACATTTCCGCTGTTTGGAGGCACTCTTGTCAGAATTTCAATGTCTTTTGTCTGTCCGTTTTATTGGTTTCTTGTCCAGATCCAGATCTCCCAATCAAAAAATAAAATTAATTACGAGTTAATCTTATAATACTACTATTATTATGCCATTTCACGCTTACGAATTAGAAGGACCACCTTGATACAACACCACATAGTTGATTACACTTTTTAAACCACCCAACACATGAAGTATACATTCAAGTTCACTTACAATGATTTCTACTCTCCATCTCTAAGTTATCAACTGAGTAAACCAGTTAAGACAATTATATATTTCTTAATTACCTCTTAAACTAGCCAACGTGAAATACTCAGTTCACTACTCGAAAAATATAAATTTACCTAATTATTAAATACTCAAACTAAACTCATCGTACTTTTCAAGTTTTCCGAGTAATCAACCCACATGAAAAAAAGTTTTCAACATCGAAAAAGATTTATGGTAATGTTGAAGTATATAAATAAACTTTTTTGTGTGTGGGTTCTTTGTAAAACTTTAGAAGAAAAAAGGGAAAAACAAGAAGAAGCAAAAAGTTAAAAACCCCAAAATTAAAGTGGTGGAAAAATGTGATGGAGCCCCATAGACAAATAATACTTTACACGTACTGGCTACTACTACTTGGGATTTCCCGAGTCTAATGTTTATAATTTACCTGGCAGCTGACGGTGGATTAACAGTGATTTTAAGTGACCAATCCAGTCTTCTCAAGATATGGTCCCGGTCGGTGACACATGTCAGCTGCTCACTTGTTCATTAAAGTAGTTTCCCAAATGTCAAAGAATCTTAAAGCCATAAAACACTATCTTCCACCGCCCATTTTTTCTCTTAGCTTTTTTTTTTTTTTATATAGTGAGGAAGATTTCTTCTCTTAGCTGAGTTCATTCCGCCAAAGTAGTAAAATGACTTAAAATGCAAAGAATTCCCAAATTAAATTGCATCCAAAGTAAAGCCAAATTAATGGTGAATCAACGAATTGAGTCCATTTCCACCTTTCTTTCTTCAAGAGGAATCCAAAATTGTTTACGAGCAAGTTGCTTATATTTAATGGTTGATTTTTTGGTACAAAAGTTATGGCCTTGTAATATCTTTAATTATCAGATGTCATGCCATTTTTTTTTTTTTTTTGCGTGTATTTGGTGTATCATGTACATATTTAATCAGAAAGTTTTTATGATAAAACGAATGTTATATGTTTAACAAAATTAGTTCACTATGAAGACTAGATTAGGACACAAATAGTGTTGAAAATCTCATCAAGTTATTCCTATTTTACCTGCCAAGTATAATTTTTTTTATTTATCTCCTAATTTAGGATTTAGATCCAAGTGGGGTATCTTGGAATTTTGCACTTAAAAAAAAAAAGGTTCAATTATTGGCACCTCCATGCCCACTCACTCATCACTATATAACTCCAATGTATCCTAAGCCAAAAAATTTCATCACAAAAGCCAAGTTTACTAGTTAGTATTTACACACACCACACACATTCTCACCTAGTGACTCCTCTCTTCTCCACAAGCACAAGTCTTAATAAAAACTTCTTGCAACTTCTTGTCCTCCAAAAACTTTGGTTCGAATTCAATCAAGAATTCAACATGTCTGACAATTACTACTACTCATCCTCATCTTCTTCCCAATCACAGTCAACTGTGCCACTTCACCTCTGCTTCTTCCTCATGGTACTCTTTGCATTTGTAAGTTTCACATGGTACATAAACATGGACAGTGTTTTTGAACCCTTTTTTGATGGGCTCAAATTGTTCTTCATGGTCTCTCCTTTGCTGCTGGTTTTAGCAGTTCAGTTGTTCTCATATTTAGAAAGGTACTGGGTTTATGTGCCGTTTCCGGAGCAAGAATCTCTGCACAGAGCCGGTGGAACTCCGTGGGGTGTTGCTTTGATGCTTTGTATTCTTTTCTTCATGGTTTCTTACCAATCTGATCTGAGAGAGCGTTGGTTTCCACTTCTGAGCTGATGAATGAAGATCCGTTTTGGAAATCGGAATGGGTCGCCGTTTACCGGCCGGAATTTGTTACAGCCTGCATGTGTGTATATATGTTGCGGTTTGAAGCAAGGAGAGATTGACTTTTATCTTTCTTTTTTCTACTTCTTTATTGGTGTAAGATAGTTTGTACTACTTTTTTTTTTTTAAATGTACAAGCTAGATCTCAATTACTACCAGCCAGATGTAAATTTGGGTTTTTTTTTTTTTTAATGTTGTTTTTTTAAGAAATCCAGTAATTACTGTTGGATGTTGCTGAGAAAATCCACATTACTCGAGAAAGAGCTTTTGTGGTATGTGTATGATTGTATCTGTAATATATATGTGACACAATTATTGAAGTGTTGCTCTGATTAGTTATTATTTCGACAATATTAAAATTATACGAAATGCGAAAAAATATTGAAATGACTTAATGAAATTTTATGTTACCATTTGTTAAATTCATTTTATTAGGTGAAAAATCAACGTGAAGCAGATTAACGAGAAGCACATAGCATTGGTGAATAGTCAGTCGTTCACTACTTTTTAGTTTGTTCGGACAAACTTGTTTCATTCAGTTTTGCTACTTGGAGTTGTTATTTGGGATTTTGTACATCTATTAAGTGTCAACATACAAATGTATTGGAACAAATCAATTTTGTGTACTAGAAAACAAAATCAACGAAAATTGGGTTGAGATTACTTGCACAAAAAAAAGAGGACTAGCTACGCACTCATTTTTTTTGCTTTTACTAGTTTTGTTTTCATTAGCACAACTAAGTCATTCCCTTCCAAATCCGGGATGGTTACGGGCTAACGGCAATCACACATTTTCGACCAAATTACACTATTTGGAAAAAAAAAAAGGGATTATTAATACTTTTATAGTAGGACATTTTTTTAAAATGTGTCTCATTATATGTGTATTAGGACATTTGCTAAAAAGTATCTTATTAAAAATGAAAAAGTGTATGCATATTATGAAACACTATCATAAGTGTACTATGTGAGGTTACTTGTGAATTATTACCCTACTTAATGGGTCACTTTAAAGTGTCTTAATAAGTGACAATCTAATAATATACTTTCAAATGTTTTATAAATTATTGTGACTCGATTATAGGAGACACTATTTAGTAGTGTCCCACGCAATGTGAATCACATGTGTTCTATTACATTACTTATTGAGACACAAAAAAGTGTCTAAACTACTCATTTTTGTTGTAGTGCCAGAATTTGTACGAAATTAGGAGTAAAATTCTTAATTGCCATTGAGGTGCATGCATTTCCAACTTTTAAAGTCTTTTAATTTCCAACTCATAAACTGACTTCGAGCCAAACAAAAACCTAGTAGAGGTGGAGTTTTTATAAGTTTGTTAATTCTTTGAAATTCAAAGTTGGTAAGTTTGTCAATCTAATTTGTATTTTGTCCTTTTTGGGTTTCCAGTGGGAAAAATGGCTTTCATACCCAAAACTTATTTCTTGTCCTTAATTTTACCCAATAGATTTTTTATTAGCTAACTTTACCCTAATGTTTGAAATTTTCGCTAATTTTGTCCAATCGAGCTATTTTCCATCCAAGTTAACGGATCTCCATTAATTTATTAATAAAATAATCAATTTAATTACATAAACACCCCAATAATTTTTAAAAATATAAAAATAACCATTGAATTATATAAAAATAATAAAACAGTCTATTTTTAATTTTTCATTTTATTTTTCTCTATTTCATTCCATTTCTCTTTAATACTTTTAATGACCATAAAATTATATTATATGATCTTTAAAGAAATATTTATTTATTTTCATACTCTACCGTAAAAAATCAATCTTTATATAGTTGTAACACATGATTGTATTTGTATAAACTTATTAATTTTTTTTAATAATATAGTTTAGCAGTAACGATAATATTTTTCTGATTCATTTTATTCTTCCGGATATAAAGATTAAAAATATTTAATTAAACTAATACCACACATAAAAATAAAGTATTTAGCTCAAATAACAAAATAATTAAAACTAATACCACACATAAAACTAATACCCCAATATTTTTTTTTTAAAAAAAAGAAGAAAAATATTATTGTTACTATTAAACTATATTAATTATTAAAAAATTAATATATTTATATAAATACAAGACTGAAATCCAAAATTTGTATTTTACATAAAGGCGATCTGCATATTTTGGTCCCCTACATCTACATCTATCTGTTTTGGTCCTCTACTTCTACGTTTAATTTTATTTTGGTCCTCTAACACTATTCAGAAAGTTTGACCGTTTCGGATGTCAGGTCAACATGGGTATTTTTGTCTTTTACTCTAACATTTATTTTTCAGTAATTAAGAAATAAAAAAATAATAAATTAAAATAAAATTATTTTTTCTTTTAATTTAAAAGTATTTTATTTTAAATTAACATTAATTTAAAATACTTTTGCTTATTATTTTAAATTAATAATAAAATATTTTAAAATTAATTAATTTTAAAATACTTTATTAAATTTATTTTAAATTATTATTATTAATTAACAAAAATAAAATGATTTATTATTATTAATTTTAAAATAAAATACTTTTAATTTTATGGTCATTAAAAGTATTAAAGAGAAATGGAATGAAACAGAGAAAAATAAAATGAAAAAATAGACTATTTGTATTTTTATATAATTCAAGGGTTATTTTTATATTTTTTAAAAATTATTGGAGTGTTTGTGTAATTAAATCAATTATTTTATTAATAAATTAACGGAGATCCGTTAACTTGGATGAAAAAAATGGCATGATTGGATAAAATTGACGAAAATTTCAAACATTGAGGTAAATAGGTCTAACTGAAAATCTATTGGATAAAATTGACGTCGAAGGCAAATTTTGAGTAGAAATTCCATTTTTTCCGTTTCCAGTTGAGTGAGAAAATCTCATATTTCGGAAATGCAATGGACTCGAATCTCCAGAGAATGGAAGTATGATTTGATATAAATATTGCTACTTTGTCTACCGCCTTTTTTTGGTATACAATTAATAGAGTGTATAATTGTTTTGTTAGCAAGCATTGCATTATACGTATATATTCATTAATTCTCTCATTCTGCATGTTATTTCATTCCCAGAAAAGAGAGACTTGACCTTCTCGTTTAAATCCTTATTTTTTTTTTGGTACAAGCAAAGAGGCATATGAAAATGTCTAGATTATTACATCCCGTTGGTAGGAGACACCAACTATATCCTGTGTATCAAAGTCTAGAGTTGGTTGTCCGTGAGTTATTGAATTGGGAATGATCGGTGGAAGTGAAGCGTATTTACAGAGAGCGGAATTTTACAGCAAATTCATTAGCAACTCTAGCGGTATCGAGTCCACGTGGTTTGCAACAGTTAGAGGAAGTTCCCAAAGTATTAAAGCCATATTCTAGGTAGCCAAACACCCCCTTCAAAAGTGAAATCAGATTGAAGATGCAGGTGCTCGGTAATAATTGTTCTTAAGACATATTTATCTCACATTCAATCATATTAACCACTTATAGATGTGAATGCCATGTGAAGGAAGGTGTTGATGGGATGACTATTATTAAGTATTAAATTCATTCTGTACCCAAAAATAATACAAATATTGCGTGTGCGTTGACTTTTTATAATGATTGGGGGCATATTAACTGATGTTTTGTGCGATCTTCACATGTAAAATAAATTTTTATACTAAAAGTAGCTTTATGTTGCATCTTTCATACTTTTGACTGCTTATATTGGTAAGATCTTCACATATTAACTGATTATTTCTCATCAAATGAGGAATTATTTAAATCGTTGAAAACTTGAAATATCACATGTAATTCATTTTATCGATCTTACTATCATAATAAAGGTTACTCGTAAGAATTTTCAAAAAAATAAAGAAAATGGATTCTTACCCAAATTAGTAAGTATCCTAGTTCATTGAGCAAATGCTCACCTCCCTCGCCAACAATCTGTCGTAAATATTTTGATTACTTCTTCATTATTACAAAAGAATTATGAGACGTTAATAAAAAAAAAAGCATTCTGAGAGGGAGCTTATTACGCTTCCATCCATAAGTAAATATTTTATCACAGTCTCATTAGTTCGGTCATGATAAAATGAAAAAGCCCACCTGTTTGATTGGTGGGTCAGATTCAGTATGAAGTGGGCTATTTTGTGTCCATATGGTTATGTCCAAAGTTGGCCCAAAACGCTTCTTCTTATTCCACCAATAACTGATCTTTGATGAAAATAAAAATTTGATGGCAAATTTAATTTTAATACTAGTATAAAGTTAAACGCAATCTCAATTTCATTAAAAACCCAGGGATAGTGGTGTCGGTATACTAGTGATTAGTAAATCTTTTTCCCACCTTTTTTCTTTGATGAGAGATCCTAGAGTTGAATACAGGACTTCGTTACCATGTTCATTGTTTCTTTGGATCTATAGCGTTTGTTTACTCACAGTTTTTGACCATTATTGATGTTGTGACGTACTTTTCCTATTTGAGAGCATTAATCAGGCTGAGTGAAAGTCATGGTTTCAGTCTACCGTGACCGTTGAAGAAATGGTCAACAAAGTTGGAGAATTTAGAGAATAAACGATAAAGTGTCTTATGGACTTTACGGGCCAATAGATTAGAATAAGAATTAGCTTTTCTGCCATGAGTAGGAATATATATATATATATATGTATATGTGTGTGTGTGTGTGTGTGAAATCATTTTATTTGTTGATAAAGATTTGCTTGATTGGTTCAAATCTAAAATTGTAAGAACAGTGATTTTGAGAACGAGGTGCGTAAGATAATACTACTAAAAAATAATACTATTAGTTATCTTTATCTCCCTTGACGTACTTGAGCTTGAGTTTTTATGTAACTGTGTATATGCTTCTTGTTTCTTTTTCGCTTCTTTTTGTTTATTAAAACACTTGGTATGAAATCAAACAACGAAAATGGATTATAAAAGTATGATGGTTTGATTGTAGACTTTGTTTCGCCATACCTTGTTATGAAATCAATTGGACTTTGAATGGAAACAGAATTAATTGAAGCACTTTTTCTTTCAAATTAATTAAAGATATGTCACTACCTTCCGTCTTTTGACTGTTTAACATAACCAGTTGAAGATGTTTTTGAATTTTTATCAGTACCAGTTCAAATACAAGGTCATCATGCTAATTTTTTTTGACCGCATAATACGTTCAGATGTTTGCCCATGGGAAATATTCTCCCAGCGTAATTGATTAGTTTTTAGTCGATTTCTCATCAGTCAGAGATGTAAAAATCGAACATTATCATGTAAAAATGATTTTCACATGTTGGACCCATAATCAGTGGGTTTAAAAAAAGTTTAGAAAAAGAAGATGTTTGTCAACGATCCAGAAGGGTAGATGACTGCTAGACCCATGCTTGAGAAACTTTTGTTTAAAACTACAAAATTAATCTA